CACAGGGTAGCTCTGGAGCCTGGAATGTAAGTCGTTGTCAATACAGGATCAGAAAGACGAGCGGCAGTCCATATTATACACAAGTCGTTGTGGGAGAACATCCGGTGCGTAGCTGACTTGACACGTAGTTAAAACGCAAATAAAACCCAGTACCTGCTCATAATCTAAAATTATGAAGAATGAAAGTAAGGCCAAGTAGCTGCATAATGCATCCAAGAGTGTGTGATCATGAAGCTTTTAAAAAAAACCCTGCTCAGATTCAATGCAACAACACGGGAAAATAAGCCTCGTTCGATATATCAATATCCTAACATGGTTCTGAGGTTTTCGGGACATAATTCTTTTTTTTTTATTTATTTATTTCTATTGACACTCTATTCCCAAAATAGATACAAGAAAACACCGCCAAATATAGAAGTTTACTCTAAAAGCTTCGGAGCCGTGTTAGATTATTGATATATCGAACGTGGCAAGTTAACCTATCCATTTTGCATCTACTTTTTGTACGTTGCTCTTAAAAGTCAGTGTAGCAGTGACTATCCTCAAGCGAAAAGATTCCACGTTTTCACAACGTTACAAAAATGCCACATTCTTGCTGCATGTTACAGCCGATAACTCCGAACTAAAATTTAATTATTTTTCTTGTCAGGGCATGAGGATTGTTGGTGCCACGTGTTCAACAGAAAGAGCCGCAGAGTACAATTTTCAAGACGGATATATTGACCGGAAGACAAACACGATGGTGTACCGCTGCATTTGCAAAGGAATTTCAAGGCTGTTCTTTAGAAGTTACCGGTGCGTTATCCATTACTGGGTCTGCCCCTTTACCGGTTAGAAAAAGTACTAAAAGATCCTAGGTGATTGTTAACATATCCTTGAAAATGCAGTGCTCGAAATTCATTTTGGTGTACGAAGAAATAGTCACCCATCGAATTTTTCAGTTTGCAAACTATTTCATTAGGGAGTAGACAAACAATGCCACAGATAGCGTGCAAACGTACCTTATCGAGTAATCGTTACTTGATTTACAAGCCAAATGTTTCCGTTTACTAAGAACTTTAATTTACACACTTTGTACACAAATAGGAAGTATTGCTCATAAATGTAACATGGTAATAGAAATATATATTTTAACACTGATATTGACGGTTTCCATGCTTCCACGTCATACTCACAAGACTTATAAAGTTGTAGCCGTCAAGCTGTTCAATTGACCAAAAGCTCCGTGATAACGAATAATGAATTTCTCCAAGGAAAAGTTTGGCTCTTCAAGAAATGAGCTACTAATGCGAAGCTCTACGAAAAAAGAAATAGAAAAGCATAAATACAGTCTAAAATTATCAAGAGCTCTATGATTTGATGCAAGCTAAGAACAGCTGCAGACTTTTTCACAAGTAATAGGTTTAACAAAAGCATCAAATCAAAAGAAACAAACAAATACTCACTCACTGGAGGGAAGGGGAGAGGCGGAGGAGGGCGACAGAAAGAGAAGCGGAGATAGAGACAGGGGGTAGAGAGGTAAGGGAAGAAGGGAGGAAGAAAGCGAGGGTGGGAGGGAAAGGGTAAGCGGTAGGACAGGAAGTAAGGAGAGAAGAAGAGAGGGAGAGTAGTGAGAGAAAGGCGGCTTGGAGGGTAAGGAAGGAGAGACATTGGGAGGGAACAAAACCGGGAAGGGGGCGGGGGGCTGAATGAATACCTCACACTCTCACACCCTCTTTAAGTCTCGCGAATGAGCGTCACGTTTTAAAACTGGTCTGCAGTCTGGACTGAAACCTCTC